ATGTTGAACGGACTACTTTCATCTTAAAATCTATTTGAGGAGCAACTCTGGGACACTGTGACCCAGGAAGGCCAGCAAGGTACAAAATCTAAAACGAAGGTGCCCATTCTTGAACCATCAGCCAAAAACCAGAAGAAAATCCAGGTGTCCATTTCTTGTCTTCTCTATTGCTTCCTAGTTGTGTTTTGTTTTCCAGTTAAATAGGGATGGTGTGAGGATAAACTTTTTTTTTTTAACAGAACATTGTTCTTTATCTTTGGTTATTCACTCCTAACAAATGTTATGGCAAAACTGTTTATGGCACAAAAATGTTTAGAAAACTTATGCTGAGTTTTTGTAGTTCAAGCTTAACTCAGGGGGCGTCAAGAGGGTAGAAGTAAAACCTCCACTTCACAGAACTATAGCAAATAATCTTTCTTGGTTTCCCCCCCTGCTCCCCCACCCCTGCTGCAGTTTCTTCTCTGCAACCTTAAAACCAGAATAGGCTACTTTTTCTTTTGTCAATTGTAGGTTCTAAATTTGAGGCCTAAGTTGATTTTTTTTTTTTTTGAAGCTTTGAATTCACTTTGGGAGCAAATATATTTAGCTACTGCCAGTTTACTCCTTGCTAGGACTAGTAGCTAAGCAAGTTTTTTCTCTTAAAGTTCACTGAATTTTCTCTTACTGAACACAGATACATCTAGATAGAAATAAACATTTTCCCGTCAGTGACATAAAGGAGAAATACCTTACAGCTTCTAGGCAGCTAGGCCCTGAGCATCTCTGCAGCGAGCGTATCCTCCGTAAGCATTTTGATGGGGTAACTAATTGACCGTAAAGCAGCTGTGTGGTAAAAGATACAATTATGAAAAACAGAAGGGGCATTCATTAAAGAGGGCATAACGAAACATGAAAAATGAGTAACAAAAGTGAAAACACTTTCTTAAGAAATACAAAATATTGAGTACATTCAAAATGTATAGGACAGATTTGGGGCAGTGCTGCACAAATAACCGATTTTATTTCATGGATTATAAATAAACCTTTGTCTTCAAAGTCCTTCACTCACAATATTATACTTTTTTCCTTTCTTTTTTTTTTCTTGATGATTCATTTCCTCATTTAGGCATTACACTTTTTCTTTTTTCACTAAAATTTCTTCCTTCATTAAAAAAAGTATTGGGGGTGCCTGGGTGGCTCAGCTGGCTCGGTTAAGCATTGGACTCTTGATTTTAGTTCAGGTCCTGATCACCAGGTTGTGGGATGGAGCACCTCCCCCCACCAAAATCAGGGGCATTAGGGAGTCTGGTTGAGCTTCTCTCTGCTCATCAGAGAATCAAGTTGAGTTTCTCTCCCTCTCCCTCTCCATCTGCTCCTTCCCCTTGTGCTTGCGGGTGCAAGCAAGTATTCTCTCCCTCAAATAAACAAATATTAAAATAAAAAAACATAGAGAAGTATCAGTTTCTAAATACTAGGATGCATATTTGTAATTGAGCTTTGTGTCCCCTTGTGAAAGCCTTCTACACTGTTGTTTGTTCTTGCCATATTGTCACATGTCACTAATAGATGTCCCTAAGTTCTACAGGAAATGTGGGTTCAAAATTCTGCACCTTTATATAGACCATTATGAGGGTAAGGTTTATATAATATAAAAATGGGAGTACTGTATCAATGGAGAAATCAAATCGAACTCTTAAGCCAAACTGTTAACCAGTTATTTTTTTTATCTTTTATGACAAAATTGCCTTACAGTCAATTCCTCATGTTGTGAAAATATTTATTTATTTATTTATTTTGTGTGAAAATATTTAAAAGTAAAATTCTTGCAGCAAAGGTATCTGTGGCAAAGATGCTTACAATGAAAATACCAGACACATCTCTTACCAATAATTATTATTATTATTTCAATGTTTCTCCCAAAACCACTGCTTTTGCAGTTTCCCCCATATCAATAAAAGGCAACTGCATTTGTCTAGTTGCTCAGACCAAAAATCTTTAGATTCACTGTTGAATCCTGATTTTCTCTCACAGCCCACATGTGGTATGTCATTGAATCCTATTGGCTTTACTTTCAAAATATATCCATAACTTGACCAGTTCCCCCAATCCCTCTGCCATCACTGATTGAAGTCCTAATCATGGTTTGCCTGGATTACCTCAAGGTCTTCCAAGCCCATCTCTGCCTTTTCCTATTTCAATTACTCTGCAGTTACAGCTCTGCTCAAAACTGCCAGGGGTTCTTTCTCACTCAGGGTAAAGTCAAGAGCCTTGCAATGGTCTATAGGCCCCATGCCATCTGCCACCTACTACCCTTTTGACCTCATTTCCTGCTATTCACTTCATTTAGTCTTTCCAGTCAAAAGGTCCTCTGCTCTGTTCCTGGAACAAGTCAACACACTCTCGTCTCTGGGGCTCTCCTCCTCCTCTTCCTTCTACTTGGAATGCTCTTCCCCTAGATGCCATGTGTTTACAGGTCTTTACTCGTAAAGAGCCTCCTTCTCGGTGAGGCCTTCCCAGGTCTCCCTATCTAGTATTTCAATGCAGTGTCCCCATGTCCCCACCCCCAGTGCTTGTCATTCCTCTCCTTGCAATACTTTTTTTGTTATATGTAGTCTATGTCACTATCTACATCATATATATTATTTATTTTATTTGTTGTCAGTCTCCCCACCAAATTATAAACTCCATGAATACAGGGATTTTCTTTCCTGTCCGCTTTGCTTACTGCTACTTCCCCAGTGTCTGTCACATAATAAGCACTCATAACACATTTTTGTTAAATGTTGCTGAATTTAATACAGACTAAGTTGAAATTATAAACTTTCTACACAAAAGGTTAGCTAAAATTTTTCCACTTATGAACATGTTAGTTATTCAGAGTCCTAATTAATAGTTCTGAAATCAGTTTTAATTACCTGACAACATCATACACCAAACTAAGGTATTTATATTTTCTGTTTATCCTACTTTCTGGAACATTTGATAGCAGCTTTTCACCACAAAAACATTTTTAGATTAAAATTACTTTGCCCCCTATGGTTATCTGTGGGCACTGGTAACAAATTGTTTGCTAGTGCTAAGTAAGTCTATGCTGATTGGCCATTGGGAACTCTAACAAACTTTAAATTTCAGCAAAATTTGCCCAGAGACTGCTAATCCCGTGGAAGAAGCCAAGTATTCTGAAGGTAAAATATATCAGGTAATTTGGCTCTCTTGATATTCTTGATAGCAAATAAATTTATAATGTAGTTTACATTTTCAAGATATATGCCATCCAGGTAGGGAGACTGCTTTTGAAAATAAATATATATTGAAAGTATTCTCTACTCAGCACAATGGTATAATTTTTAGTGCTTTGTTTTATACTCTTAAACTTCATGTGTTTAAACACATTAAAATGTGTTTTTATAAAATATAAAATGTGTTACTAAGTTCTGGAAATTATCCACTAAAATTGATACCTTGGTAGCAACTTCCTCTTTGATTTAAGTGTTAGCATTATCAAGATCCACCATAATTCAAAGAGTCTAATTTTTTTCTATAACTGCATTTATAAACCAGAATAAGGATAATATAAGCATATTCATAGTTTTATATGCATATATTTGAATATGCATAGTTATTCATGCAGATATTTCTACTGATGAGCATTAAGTCATTTGATAAATGACTTGTATTGTCCTGATCTCTAAAATATGTGGATGGCTAAATTATAGTTAGGTTTAAGGTCATGAAAATTATATTGTTTAGAAGCAAATAGCCTAGAGTTTTTAGAATATATTTAATAGTTACATTATTTCTCCAAATAAAAATTTTTACCTTGAAATGTTTAAAGATTGCAACAGCATTTAGATTATTATTCCCATTAAAAGTGTTTTCCCCAAATAATCTCAAAAAGTGGTATAAATTTTTTATTCTCGAATTCGTTCTATATGTCTGGGTGGTAGTCAGAAAAATACCTAATATTCATCAAAACCAACAGATTAATAATCCACTATTATATTGACTTTTTTTTTCAATAATGGCTACTTAATGTAAATGAGCTCACTAGCTCCTCTTAGTATTCACCAAAGTATAAATATGTACCTTTATCCATAGCTAAATATTAATGTTTAAGCATAATTTTGTTGAGCTCAATATAAAATATTATTTGCCTTTAAATCAACTACAGGGAGATTTTTTCTGTAATAAAATGAAAGAATAGAAACTTATTCAAGATGGCATAGAGTCTTCATTATGATTACTGGCTCTATAATTACATTGCTTGGGTACTAATCCCAGTTATACCTCTCAATACCTGGGAATTCTGAGGCAAATTATTTGACTTTCTATTTCCTATTCTAAAACAAGAATAGTAACACCATCTAACTCATAGGGTTGTGGTGAGGCTCAATTAATTGAATATATGCAAAATTTTTAGAAGAGTGGTTAGCTCATTTTAGTATTCAGTAAATTTTAGCTATTAATATAAGGATTACACAAATTGTTTTACTCTGCAGCCCATGGATGGCTTCTAGCCCAGATAAATTGCTAATGAATATAAGGATATAGATTAGGGGATCTTACTGGCAGCAGACAAAATTATTTATTCCTCACAGTAAGCCTGCTTTGCTGGCACTCATGTAGAGTCTGTTATGAGTTCTTACACTAACTTGATACTATTATGAATTATACAATAATAAAATTAAATGATCTCTAAAAACAAAAGGGAAAAGTTTGGGCTGATAATAGAGCAAGTAAATGTATCTATAAGATTCATTTCTATCTCCTGACTTCATTGTTTTAATAATATTGGACAATTTTCACTTTCACACAGAATAATTACATATGAAGGCTCTTAGATTAAAATATCTACATTTGGTTATAAACTATACATAGTTTTTTTTAAAACAAGGAAACGGACTACTGGGAGAAGGATGTTTGTATATATTTTTGTATTTTATTTATTCTTAAGACTTCAGTTCATAATTGGCAATATTTTAGGGTAAAATTTTATTGTCTTTTTGCAGAGAGTCTCAGAGATGCAAACTGTCTGTTTGGGACTGCTTCTTTTCAGCGTGACTTGGGCAGCACCAGTAAGCATTTACAAATTCAGTTATGCATCATATTATCTCTTGCTCTCATTATTTCTCTAAGCAATGTTTCTTTCTTTTTTTCTTTTTTCCTTTTTTTTTTTTTTAGTTAGTAAGCCTTACCTAGTTTAGTTGCAAGAAAGTACCAAGCAAAAAGAAAGCATACAGCACTTGACACAAATGTCTATTAACAAGGAGGGCCTCAATAAATATGTGCCGAATTATAAAATGTCAACATACTGCTTTTCATGAAGTGCCACCAAGAGTATTTTTGAGAAAATCAATAGCCAGTCACAGTGTTTCAAATCAACTATTGTTAATGAGTAAATGCTCAGAGACCAAATTATAACACGTCTAAAGAACTTTCACTATTTTACTAAAAACTGAGAAAAATTTGACTTGGCTGTTTTAAAGCTGACCAACTAGATTTTGTAAATACCTGGCAATGGAAAGAAACCAGACCCTTTCTGTAATTCTTGTAAGACCCCGACACTGAAATCGTGCTAATGATTTTTCTCTTCAACAGCAAGGCTAAAGATGGGAAGGACTTTTAAGCTTAACATAAATTGAGCTGCAATTTCCTTTTGTGTCTTTTCTTCCTTCTGATTCACTCAGATGAGTACTCAGGATGTGACTAAATTATCTTGTGAAAATGCTGTTACTGATATTTTTTGCAGTGCAGACATAGTGCTAATTAGATAATGTCTGAAAAGCATCCTAGCTTTTCAGAACCATTTCAGTTGAGGAGCAGGAAACAAGTAGTCATTCTGTTGCCATAAGTACTTAAATATAGGTCCTGAGCCAGTGAGTGACCAGCTGGGTGACCCAGTGATGAGCATAAACCATGCCATCTAGCGAGGACAGCAGAAATTGAGGAAAGCATGGACCTTCTTAGCGCATATCCTTTGATAGTCCTGTGGTGGGCCATACTGCCTAAAATAGACATCTGCCAGGCCCCATCCACACAACTCAGCTCAATCACGACCACAGAGGCATGTGCTTAGGCATGATGAGAATTGAGTGGGTCCTGCTGACTCAGCTCAATCCCACCAGCTGAGGATGAATCTATTTAAGCAACACATTCCAAAGAACAGCTGGAATGGCACCTTCTGACCATTTTCCAGTAAATGCTATGTCAATATCAATCCAGTGACCACTGATCAAGAGAAGGTGCCAGCATTCTTCTGCAGAGGGAGACAATGCCTTCTCCATTACAAGGCCACAGTCAAATGTGGGAGAACTGCAAAATGGGTGTGGGGGGAGAAGCGAGGGCTGCATATTGCAGATGAAAGAGGCTCAACAAGGACATAGAGACAAAATTTGGGATTATGAATGGCTAAATGTGATGTTTCCTCTCAGATATATAGATTCCCTTTAGTCAATTACCTAAATTATTAATAGATTGTGGTATCAGAAATTAGAATATATTGAGTCATTTACATCTCTTTTGGAATTATAATCCAAATTCAAACTGTAGGAGAACAAAAGATTTCCTCAACCTTCTTTGGGTTCATGGCTCCAGTCAGAAAATTAAACTGACAAAGACAGATTAACAAGAGAAAAGCATACAAATGTTACTAAATTTCTATATGCACACGGGAGCTGTCACAAGAGAATGAAGAGTCAAAGAGGTGACCAAAGCAGGAAACTTTTATATCTTTTAGACAAGGAAACAGTAAATTTGTAAAAAATTGATAAGACAAAGGGATTTAGGCTGAGGGTAGTCCAACTAAAGCCAGGTAGTCTTTACATTTCTTAATGAGAAGATGAGGATTAGTCTAACAAAATTTGTTTGTGGATTTCTCTGGTGTCATCCCTGAACTGATGAAAGCTGGTCTTCAGGAACAGGACAATTTGTTTCCTACCTTTAGGCAGAAAAGAGGGAACTTTTTCTACATTTATGACTTAATTGCCTTCAGTTCAAAATAATTTTTATGTCAAATAAGCATATTTTAGGGGTGATATTCTGGTTTCATTCAAAATCAAAATTTGAAGAAAAAAAACAAAATTTGAAAAAAACAAAAGGTGGATATTGGATCATGCAATTCAATTATATTTATCAACATGCAGTTAGACTACAGACTTTGTTATAAGCTACTTTGTTGTAAGTTCATGACTTATTATTGCAAACTTTATGAAGGTTCTCTATACTATCAAGTATGTTTTTAATTTATGTGTGTGTGTGTGTGTTCTATGAGAAGATGCCAAATACCCCAAACCATCATTTTTTCTCTTGCTTAATATCTGCCCATCTCATTTTTATGTTTTCTCTTTCCTACAGCACCATATTCAGAATTATTTTCACTGTTTTGATATTTTTGAGAAATGACTCTATGATCTAAACTTACATAAGAACCAGCATAAGAAAAAGTCAATCATGGATAGAATTATAAAATATGCCTTAAAGGTACTTAATGTAAAATTCAAAAACATTTCCTCTTATTATTAAAGATGATTTTTTGGCATACAGCAGGCCATTTAAAAATCTATTTTAACCCTGGGAATTTGAGACTAACGATTTCCTTACAATATCTCTTTTACTACTTCTACCAGCTGTTTAAGTGTAGACAATTTTGTTTCTTCTACTGCCTGTCTCACGGGGGTTATTAGTGGTATCAGATGAGATTATATATACAAAAGTAGTTTACAAACTGTAAAGTGCTATGTAAATATAAGGTGTTACTGACAAACCATTTTTGTTTCTAGAATATAATGGAATGTTAGGCAGATCTGCCTTGGAGCCAAGCCAACAGGGTACTTTTACTAAAGTTTTGAGTTTATTTCTAAGACAATTTTATCAGTTAGGGTCCAGTCAGGAAAATAAAATTAAAATAAAACAAAACTCTCATGATAGGCAGTTCAATAGAGAAATTTTATTTGGAGAATAATTATAAGTATAGGACAAACAGAAAGAGCAAATCATGGGTGGTGAGGCAACCCAAAGATTAAAACTACTACTACTCCTTGGACTGAAGAAACAAGGTGGTGTTCTCCGTGCCCTGCGTGGGGGAAGGGGCCCCAGAGGAGGCAGGAGCACAAAAGAGATGTGTCCAATCCTAGAGATACAGCCCAAAACAGAGACAGACCAGGAAAATATACCTTGGCCGCTCTCTTTCTACTCTCAATGCCAGGCTAGGCCTTCCATTAGCCAAACCAAGGCTGAACCCAGACAGCAAAGTTGCTCAGGAAATGCAGTTTATAGAGGTCATTCTAAAAAGAGCTAAAGTGCAATATCTGAAAGGATAATAGCCTATATTTTACTGCAGAAAAATACAGATCATGGAGGCTTATTCAGGATGAATACTCTCTAGGTGGATAAGGTCTTTTTATTTCATCTTTCCCTTCAGGGGTTCTCTCTCTTTTACAACTGATACATACCATCATGATGCCTGCTGCCACTTTAGCACATGCATATAAACACAAACCAGTCTTGGCTACTGGTTCCTTTTCTGAAATCTGAGATAACCTAGGAGTTTCAAAAAGAAATAAGAAAGTTAAAATACTGGTAATAAAAGAATTGTTATGTCTGTTCTTTCACAGCAAGCTTGCTCCAAAATTCTCCGGTCCTCTTCTGCAGGCTCTCCTGTGACACCTAAATTTAAGCCCAAAAGCCTGGAACACGCTGCCCGGATCTATTCCTTCCTAGTTTCTGACCTTTCTCCACTTCAGTAGCTACCTCTCACCCCAGGTACTCTCAAGATCCAATCTGCGGGCCACTCCATTTTTCCTTCCCTGACAGAAATCTCTGCTCAGGTGACTGGCAACAGCCAAGTACCATCCCTGAATGTGATCTTACCCCTTATGTAGAGGGCTACAGTTTTACTTTTGCTGGACTAATAGCAGTATCAGCCCTTTGCTAATACAGCAGTCACTAAACTTATGCAATCACTGCACACGAATAATCCACATCACTGGGCTCTGAGTTTGGTTCACTGATACTAAACAACTCCCAATGTGCCAGTAAAAACTTATTTTTCAGTTGATATCAGCAACATCCAAGCTTCCATATCTGGAGTGCCACCCCTCCCCAATGTGGCAATTCTGTGCTTGAATATGGTACTATTGGAGATGGCATTGTCTCCCTCTGGAGGAAGAATGTGGGCATCCTCTTTTGTCAGACTAAAACAAATATTAATGTACTGTATCCATCTTCTTTGGTTGCAATGATTTTCTACATTGAAGAAAAATTCAGCAAGAGAAAAATAAACGAGACATTTATTGTTTGCAGAAATGGATGAAGAGATGAATGTTTGGTGAAGTTTTATTTCTTGTTTCCTTCCAGACATTTCAGCCACAGACTGGGAAAACCAAGGATGACTGTGTGGAAGAACAGAGGGTAAACAGAATTATTCTTCTCAAATAAATCTATTTCAACTTTGTAAAGAAAAAAACTCCTGAGAGGAAATTTTCAACTGTCCAAATATTCTTGTGCACTTAGAAGGGAAGTACAAAATTACACAACACAATTTTGGCACTTAGATAGAAAAGAGAAACATTCTGAATGGAAATTTGTTTCTCTTCACTGTGACTTCTTTCTTCCGAGGGAGAAGTGAGTAAAAAGCCTGGCATATTTATTAGCAAACTATTTTCCCACACATGTACATGAGAACAAAACCACAAAGGAGGGAGGAAAGAATGGGAAAAGAGTTAAATCTTCATGTGGAATTCTGTTTACAAGGAGTTAGTTTTCCATATGCATGCAGAAACTTAAACAAGTAGCCTCAGTTTTTCATGTCACCAAATTGCAGCCTACCATAGTTTCTCCTGGCCGTTTCAGAAAATTCTTTTCTAGGACCTAACAATCTTCTGTTCTTCATCACAGCTGAAAATTACGAAGGCAAAAACTGCCAACATCAGAGCCTGGATGCTCATGCTGTGAATCTTTCCAATTTGACCACAGACATGAATACTGTAAAACCTACATTTCTCCCAATCCGTACAGCCCTTCCCACCTGAAAGCACTTCCAAATGCTCCATTTCCACTGAAATTTGATAACAAAATTAGTATACCCTGCGAGAGAGAGCAGTTGTTTGTCATCCTTAGAGAAAACAGATTTACAGGCATGTAGAAAAGAAAGGGACAAGGTTTATCTTAAGGAGCTGGCTGACAGACGCTCTCCTGTGGTTATAAGAAGCACTACCATTTGTCAGAGGCAGAATTTGACTTCACCTAAGTTAAAGAATATCTTGTACAATCAGAAAGAGAGCCAGGAGATTTAATGTTATAAACACATCTTAATATAATGTTATGTTTTTGTAGATAACGTACAAAGGCCACCATGAGAAACATGGGTATTATATTTTTAAGTACGTTTACACATCATCGGGGAGGAAAAATCAAACTGACATAAAGGTAAGCATAATCTCTGGGCGAAGATACTTATCAAGAGCCAAAATCTGGACTGACCCTAGGGGAAACTGTTATAGGAGACAACTTTCCTTTTGATTATTCTGGGTTTCTGTCTGTGGCGGGTGCCACAGTCCCTGGCTCCTTAAATATCTCTGCTAAAAGAGTTAAAAAACTCTGACACAAATGGACCACCCCACGCCCTCATCCAAATCCTGCCCTGCTTCAGGACTTGCCCTAGCAGGTATGTGATACTGGTGGACCCCCGATGCCCATGCATTTTTCTTGCTTCTGAGTAACATTTGGCCTTTTGTAAGAAGGGTTTCTGAACGTATTCTAGCATATATTCTAATGGTGAGGTTTAGAAAGCTAATAGGAGAAATCATTTTGCCCTTAAGAGGGACATGTTTTAGTGCCCCTTAAATTCATTCCACTGATGACTCCATCTGGGTGAGAATACTTGGAAGAGAAAGAATAAGGGCCTTGTCCCTGGAATAGGACAATAATTCTTTTCATTCAGTCTCTTTTTGCAGATTCATTGGCCAAAGAGCTAGAAACAGCTTAAAATGCCATCAGCAGAAGGACTATTTACTTTTTCCAAATCTGGCTTCATTTCCCATGAAAGTAGTAGCTTTTCTTCAGAATGTTATTTTGTTCTGCTCATTATTCTTTAGATGGCATCTCTAATACTAACTGCCTGTTAAGCTAATTTGTTATACTAAGTTAAAATGTTTTTGTTGTAATCAATATATGTTGAGCAAAATACTATGTGAGATAAAATGATTAAGAAAACTTAATTCTTTCTCTCCAGGAACTGAGTTAGAAAAAAAAAAAAAGACACTTATGAAAGTCATTATAAAAGTCGATTCAGAATGTGCAAAGTGCTGTGGGAGTAGTACCCAAAAAAACCATGAATTTAGGGGCTTAAGGTAGAAAAAGATTAGTTCCTAGTCTGGTATTTAGGGAAAGCTACATAATGGAAATAATTGAGCTGGGCTTTGGAAGATGAGTACAATTTGAGCAAATGAGCAGATGGGAGAGGCCATTCCCCATGAAAAGAATAATATGAACTAGGGCACTGAGAGAGAAAAGCAGAGCATAGGAAATCAGATCACCCAACTGATACAAGGACCATCATGCAGGCAGTGATGCAACCAGAAATCATTTAAAATAACAAATACAAAAATGACTATTACATTCCACAGTTTAAAAGTTGTTTCGTGTTTTCATCTATAAAAGAACTCTATTCAGTCTTTAATGAAATGGACACAATTCATTAGTGTACATGCTACTGCTTTGTGGAGTTTTAAAAAATATTTTATTTATTTATTCATGAGAGACACAGAGAGAGAGAGGCAGAGACACAGGCAGAGGGAGAAGCAGGCTCCATGCAGGGAGCCCGATGCAAGACTCATCTATCCCAGGGCCCCAGGATGACGCCCTGAGCCAAAGGCAGACGCTCAACCACTGAGCCACCCAGGTGTCCCTTTGCTACTGTTTTCAAGGCAGTTGAAGCACCAGAAAGAAAACAAAATTTCCCATGGCAAAGTAGGGAGAGAAAATAAGTTAAAAAGGATTATCATAGTTTACTGATTAACACAACTATTTAGCGCAAAAAGCCATATTCACAATGAGCAAATGAACTTGATTTCAAAGGAAGATATAAATGTCCATGTAAAACTTTCCAAGATTCAATGACTTAAAATAAGCCAAATGTTTAAAAATACTTTTTATTCAGGAATAATTTACTGTAAAGTTTGTTTCGATTACACTTCCCCCCACAGAAAAATATTGCCTATTTTCAGAATATCCTTGCCAATAAAAAAGATCAGTGAATATCATAACTGAAACAAATTAATAATTTCTTTAAAATTATATCTTAAAGAAACTACAAGTTATATCTTTTGTATGCTGTGTATTAACCAGTTTCCTAAGAGTAGAAGGCATTTCCATAAACTCTTTTTAATCTTGAGATTCATGCATGAGCTGATTTAACAATCTCCCCCACTGCTTCCAATGGTAAGATACATGTGGAAAAGTAAGCAGTCCTTCAAATAAAATGATATTCTTATTTGCAGATAAAAGAAAGAGAGAAATAGGAAGTCCAAGCAAAATAAATTTCAGAGGGCATAGTATGAGGGGCCAGAAGCTCACAGAACCCTCCCAGAGGGTGACATTCAGTTGGTACATGTCAGAGAAGGGTCCAGAGTTAGTCCGTCTCCATCTGTCACCACCACAGTTAGGGAGGAACAGGTACTGGGAAATAGCTGTGCATCCAATAATCAAGTGACTATTACTCACAATATAGAAGAAAGCAAGCAGCCATTTGATAAAGGGCTATACGTGGTTATGTATGAAATGATAGTTACCATCATTTGTCTTACACATTGACATTGTTCTAGATACTTTACACACATTATAACATTTAATAAAACCATTAATTGGGATGCCTGAGTGGCTCAGCGGTTAAACGTCTGCCTTCGGCTCAGGGTGTGATCCTGGAGTCCCGGGATAGAGTCCCACATCTCCTGCAGGGAGCCTGCTTCTCCTTCTGCCTATGTCTCTGCCTCTCTCTCTCTCTGTGTCTCTTGTGAATAAATAAATAAATAAAATCTTAAAAACAAACAAACCATTAATTCTCCCAACAATTCTGAAAGGTAGGTGTCATTTTTCTTATTTTACAATTAAGAAAGCTGAGCCTCAGAGAAGTAAAAAAAAAAAAAATAAGGTTTCTAAGATCACATAGCTCATAAACGGTAGAGTTGGACAACTCATTCTAATACCTGTGCTCTTTCGAAAGTACACGTACTTTCAACAAGCACTTGACTGGGATCAAGCTGCCTGCTGTTCCACTAAATGTAATTCCCCAATACCCTGGCTTCCCTGAATGTGGGTTTTCCATCTCCTTTGTCTTCCCTACACACTTGCCCTGTGAGTGCAAGCTTCTAACTGATTACACTTTTTTCCTTCATCTGGGAGCGCTCATGTATTTGCACACATCTAATTAATACATCCAAGAAAATGTCCATATGCTCAATAAGAGCCAACAGACTGAAGTGGTGGCCAAAAAAGACAGGATGAAATTAAGCTGTATTAGTAAAAACAGGGCTGTGGCCAGGGCAAGGAAGCTACTAGATGCTTTGTGCTCAGGGCTGCTCAGGCCACATCAGAGTGTGGGGCCCCGTGGGACCCCACAGGCTAAAGGAGAGCCATTCTTTACCAGTTCATTCTTTATCCATGAAACTTGCTTTGATCATTCCAGAATTATCTCTGCCAACAAACTTCTATTGAATTAATAGTCTTTCTCTTAAATATCTGGTGGGTAATTCTTTTTAAATTGCCTAGGAATTATTAAATTTTTAAAATTTAATATATAATAATACTTCATGTTGAAAATTACACTTTAGCAGGAAGAAAAAAACAAAGACAATACTGCCCTTCAAAATTCTGGTAAGAGAAGAAATCAAGAGCCAGCACCTAAAGAAAACATTGCCCGGGAAAGAGAGAAAAACTTGTCCATTCTTGGAGCCAGTGAAAATAAAGAAAGTAGCAAAACCCAAACTCTTTTTGAAAACATACAGACCACAAATGAAGTTGATAGCATTAATAACAAAGAAAATGCCCACAGTGACCTAAAGATGTCCGTTTACCTTGAATCCCCTGGGAATAATGGGGCCGAGGATAAAGATAATGCTATCAACAAATCACATGACCAAGAAGAATATGGTACAGCTCTCATCAGAAATAATATGCAACATATAATGGAGCCAGGGACTGTGACTGAACTCTTGGCAGAAGAAAACAAAGAGAACAAACCCAGAAACATTCTAAGCAAAATTCCAGCAAGTGTGAACTATGTTAAAATCCCCTCAAAAAATAGGAAGAATTATCAAAGAGATCCTCAAGCCCAGAATATTCCAGTTAAAAGCAAAAGCACCCATCATACCCAACACAACATTGACTATCCAAAACTGCTCCAAAAAGTCAAAAAAATCCCCAGTGATTTTGAAGGCAGTGGTTACCCAGATCTTCAAGAGAGGGGGGACAATGATATCTCTCCTTTCAGCGGAGATGGTCAACCTTTTAAGGACATTTCTGGTAAGGGAGAACCTATTGGTCCTGACCTAAAAGGTGCAGATATACCAACAGAGTCTTCTGGCCCACGTGAAGCTGATACTATCAGTCCTGATGCAAGAAGGCCAGGTTATAATGAGATCCCAGAAAGAGAAGAAAGTGGTGGAAGTACCACTGGAACCAGGGATGAAACAAGAAAAGAGGCAAGCACTGATGTAAGCCTAGTAGAGGGCAGCAACGATATCATAGGTAGCACCAACTTTAAGGAACTCCCTGGAAAAGAAGGAAACAGAGTAGGCGCCAACAGCCAAAATGCTCACCAAGGGAAAGTAGAGTTTCATTACCCTTTTCCACCCTCAAAAGAGAAAAAAGCTGAAGGCAGTAGTGATGTAGCTAAAAGTCCTAATTATAATGAAATTCCAAAAAATGGCAAAGGTAGTAGTAGAAAAGATACAGAGCATTCTAATAGGAATAAAGTAATCTCAACTGAAAAACAAAGATTTCCCACTAAGGGCAAAAGTCAGAGCCAGCTTGTTCCTTCTCATGATCTTGATAACGAAATTAAAAATGAAATAGGTTCCCATAATGGCCTCAATAATGAGGACACTATAATAACACAGAGCAGAAAAAATCATTATGTGCCCCACAGACAAAATTCTACATGGAATAAGAGTGTGCCAAAGAGGAAAGGCTCCTGGGGTTACAGAAAACCCCATTCCAGGAGAAGGGTGAGCCCCCCTAGAAGGCATGATAGTAGTGAATCATCTGACAGTGACAGTTCCAGTGAGAGTGATGGTGACTAGCCCACAAGAAATTACCAGCAGGATAGAGGTTCAAATACCTCATCATCTGTAACCTGACAGAAAAGGGGAGCCATGTGAGGGCAGACCAGATGAGAAAGAGCAGAGCGGAGACTGAGTAAGCCAAGAAAACCAGCCCCTGGGGGAGATTTGTTGCTATCGTAATTGGTCACAGTCTGAAATTCTATTCAAAGTTATGACGTTTTTTTTAAAGGAGAAAAATTAATTAAGGATTTGTGGAATAGTTCACATTTGAACAGATGTCATTTAAAACTAGTGTGTGAGTGTCACAAAAGCCTTCCTATGCTGTTTGCTTTATAGATATGAAGAACAACAATATCTCTCATATGATAATCTGTAATTAAATAATCTCTAAGAAAATCTGCTGTCTGTGGTGCTTCATTTCAGAGACAACAAGATTAGTTCTGCTGCTGGCAAAGGCAGTGTTATGAAGTTAATCTGCTGAATAAAGCTTAGCCACATTCTCTCATCCCACTGTACTTAAGGCAGCATTTCCTTCTTCTTCTGACCTCCCTGTGCTCTAATGAAGATGTCCTGCTTCACAGCTTTCTATGTTCCCTTCTTGTATTGCACATTTATAACTTCTTATAAGATACGTTTTAGGAGCACCTAGGTGGTTCAGTCAGTTAAACGTCTGCCTTTGCCTCAGGTCATGATCCCATGATCCCTTAAGTCCTGGGATCCCCCACCCCGTCTCAACGGGGAGCCTGCCTCCCCCTCTCCTCCCCCATTCGTGCTCTCTCTCTCACTGTCTCTCTCACCCAAATAAATAAAATCTTTTTTAAAAAGACAAATTTTATTTCCTGAAACAACTTACCACATTATCACTACTTTCATTAGTTCTGCCTCCTTCCAGACAAAGAAGGGAACGGGGTGAAGGGAGGAGGAACAGGGATACATTGAGAAGGAGAAGCACAAGTACAAAGCCAAGAGAAAAATTTACTTTGGCAAATATTATTCATTGACTGGTCCTAAATTACTTCCAGTTAATTTCTTTTCCCAAATTTTTCATATAGATGTTTTCCCACCTATTGGACTTTTGACACTGTTGTGGAAATTGGACCCAAGCTGCCCGGTAAGGGAGGGGAATGAAATTCTGGGAGGCTTTTTTGCTCTTCCTGATAAGAAAAACTTTTACGACTAGAGCCATGATTCCTCCCTTCTTTCCCTAATCTTCTTTGTTTGACATTAACACAATGCTTAGAGGTGCAGCAGCCATTCTGTGACCATGAAGAAAAGGGATGAGATAACAGAAAATATATTGGTCTCTGCCCCCCAGTTCCTGGCATAGAACTCTGAAAATCCTTGTAATTTCCTAAGTGATAAGGGCAATTGGAGCATCTTTAATTCTAATATTTGGTCTTTGACCCAGGTTCCTGACAGAGAGTTCCTAAATCCCTTGAAATATCCTAGGTCTTTTGTTCTAATGAAGTGACTCTTGGTAGGCTCCTAGATGGGGGCTGGTCACTAGAGAGACTAGCTAAAAAGCTTGAAATTTGGGGCAACTGGGTGGCTCAGTCAGCTAAACATCTGCCTTCTGCTCAAGTCATGATCCTGGGGTCCTGGGATGGAGCCCCATGTCAGACTTCCTGCTCAGCACAGAGCTTGCTCCTCCCTCTGTTCCTCACCCTTCTCATGCGCTCTCTCTCTCTCTACCACTTCCTCTCTCTCTCTCTCTCTCTCTCTCTCTCAAATAAATAAAATCTTAAAAAAGAAATAAATAAAATAAAAGCATGAAATTTTCAGTCCTATCCCCTCCATTCTTCAGAGAGGGAAGAGGGGCTAGAAACGGAGTTAGTAGTTAATTACACACATGTGATGAAGCCTCCACAAACACCTCAGAAGTATGGTGTTCAGAGAGGTCTCAGGTTGGCAAACACGTGGAGGGGACAGGAGACAGCCTACCTGGAGAGGGCATGGAAGCTCTGTGGCTCTTCCCACATACCTAATCCTTCACATCTCCTCCACCTGGATGTTCATTGGTATCTTTTATCATACCCTTTTACAATAAACTGATAAACAGAAAGTAAAGTGTTTTCTTGAATGCTGTGAGCTACTCTAGCAAATTAATTGAACCCGAGGAGGGCTTTGTGGGAAGCTCTGACTTATAGTCAATAGGTCAGAAGCATAGGTGACAACCTAGACTTGCAATTGGCATCTGAACTGGGGAGGGGGACAGTCTTATGGCACTGAGGACTTAGCCTGTGGGATCTGATGGTATCTCTGGGCAGATAGTGTCAAAACTGACATAAACCGTATGACAGCTGGTGTCACAAAAGTGTAGGTTTTCTAACACAAAAACACAAACACAGAGATACCACTAACGCAGCTCCATCAGCCTCCTGCCCCCAGAATCGTTCTATGAATAAAACAATTCTCCATGTGTTAAGCAACTATTCTTTTTTTTTGATAGTTGATTTGGAATACTATTTGATATACCTCTCCATTTCTGACATACTTCTAAGTTGAGAAGGGTTAAGAGGAGAAGAAAGAGGTAGAAGGTAGAGAAAGGTGTCTATTCTTGTCTAAGATGTAAGTTCCCAAACAGCAGAAATCATGACTGGTACATTCTGCACAGCACCTAGATTATTTTTTTAAGATTTATTTATTTATTCATAAGGGACACACAGAGAGAGAGGCAGCGACAAAGGCAGAGGGAGAAGCAAGCTCCCCGCGGGGAGCCCAATGCAGGACTCAATCCCCCATCTAAGGATCACACCCTGAGCTGAAGGCAGACGCTCAACCACTGAGCCACCCAGGCATCCCCGCACCTAGATTATTGAGTTGAATAATTTGGATAATACAAATGAAAAACACCTATGTCAATACAATATCATGATGCCTTCAAAAAATCTAAACTGTAATTAGGTTGATAGAAGGTACCTCCTTTTTTTTTTTTTTAACAAAGCGGAAGTTGCAATATGAGCTATGGAATAAATCAGATTTTCCACATACATCCAAATAAATGGCTAAAAACGCCATGCTCTGTTACATCCTTTAATCCGCCATGCTCTGTTACATCCTTTAATCCGCACATCATCCTATATATGAGTACCTTTACTATTCCCATTTTACAGCTGAGGAAACTGGGCCACAGAACTGTTGGTAAGTGTCCCAACTAGTAAGCTGGGATTTGTATCCAGGCAGCCAGGCTCTTTGCTCTTAAATATTCACTGTACTACCACACATCACATACGTAGACATACATAATGCATAACATGCATTACATATGTGGATGGGTGTATATATAGACACCTATACATGGAAAATGTACCTATATATCCGTACACACACACACACACACACACACACACACACACACACATAGAGCAAGAAAAAGAGAACCTGAAAGTAGAACCTAAAATCAAGGAATATCATCTTTCTCTGATTTATCCTCCATCTTCTAGGTATAATAGTAATAAGTACCAATGAAAAGAGTTAACATATCACCTAATAAATTAGTCAGCATCAGAGTTCCAGAATAAACTATTTCCAGTACTTTGCTTTTTTAAAGATGAAAGACAACTTTGGTGCACACGTACACACGCAACTTGACGCAATCAATGAAATGAAGAAAACTCTATCATAATTTACATTGCTCCAGGGCAGCCCGGGTGGCTCAGCAGTTTAGCGCCTGCCTTTGGCCCAGGGCGTGATCCTGCAGACCCGGGGTCGAGTCCCACACCGGGCTCCCTGCATGGAGCCTGCTTCTCCCTCTGCCTGTGTCTCTACCTCTCTTTCAGTGTCTCTCATGAATAAATAAATAAAATCTTAAAAAAAAAAAAAAAGAATTTCAATCGCAGAAAAATGAATTGAAATCAACCCGCTATTTATCTCCCAGATTATGTCAGACTTTCGCATGTAAATGGTCTGATCGCATGAAAAACACTTGGTGTTGTAAAGGAGGAGAATGAACTGATGGAGAAAACGAAGGTTTTCTTTGGGTAATTACAGGCAGGAGCTTCCAAAGGGCACCAGTCCTCGTCTGCTCTCTAGTGGGCTCACTGTACATTTCTATTCTCTGGCCATCTTTTGTTTTCTCCCACCGAGTCTGAGCGTTCATGCACGTTCCCTTAGAACCCGGACAGTGTCCAGAGTCGCCCCCAGTGAAGGGAAACTTGAAAAGCTTCAACATCTGGGTGGCTTTGCGGAGGGATCGGGACATAGGAGGCCGAGCCCTAGACTGAAGGGCAGGACCCGGGAGCGCAGCCCGCAGCCAGGCCGTGCGTATCCAAACTCAGGCTTCACTTTTTTTTTTGGGGGGGGGGTTGGACAAGCATAGATCCCCAAAACATTTAGGTTGCTCCAGGAACGTTTCAGCTTCACGGAGCTGCCTTCTATACGGTGACTGAAACGGGATAATTCCGCCACCTTGTGCCCAAAAAGAAAAGATTGCTCGGGGTCGCGTGGTTCATTTCCACGCTAGCTGCTTCCTCCAACCTCACCCTCCTAGACTTCCCTGCCTCCAAGTACCTACCTTGATTTGCAGCTAGAGTCGATCTGCTGTTAAAAATCCGGCGAGTTGGGACAGTATATCTGATTCTGTTTGACTTGACATTCAGCTCCGTTGAAAAACATTTACAGAGTGACTACGTTTTACAAAGTTCCATGGGGATCAAAAGGAGAGAAGAGATGCTGCCAGCCCTTGCTGAGACTATGATTCAGTCAAGGAGAAAGGCGTTCAAAAGACACAAGGCGACTGTGGTAAATTCAATGGCAAAAATCTAAAGAGATTATAGGAGTTCTGAGGAAAGAGATGAACTCTAGCTGAAGGTAAGAGCAAACATAGAGTAAAATGCATTTTCCTTAAGGTATTATAAATTCAGAGGGACTGCAGAAGGTCCAACAGGTAAAGGAGGGCCTGAGAGTCAGTAACCTTAAATGACGCTATACACATTTTAGGATTTGAGAAAGATCACTCCACAGGGTGGGGAAGTGGTGGTGGGTGAGAGGCCTGGCAGCAGGGGTGGGAGTGGGGCGGG